TTTTATAACAAATGTCCAAAAATATGGTAAAGCGATACTTACGCTGCTTTGTTTACAGCGGAAACCAAGGAAACGCTTTAAGCGCCACCTGCTGGCAGAGAGTGAATCTGCGTCTCATTCAGTTCTGCTGTTTCTGTTTCATGTCGATATTTTTTATGTATAGTTTCACTAAACCATTCTGTTTTTGCTTCAAATTTCGAGAGCAATAATATGCAAGTGCTATATTAGTATATTATTATAGTGTTAAATTTCAATTTCACAAAGAAATGTGCAGCATTTTGTCCAAGCAATAATAAAAGGACACATTTAATTTATAATTTGTCTTAAATCTCATTTTGTAAAAATAAAAATAAAAATCGTGAATCGAATTGAATCGTGAGTTGAGTGAATCGTTACATCCCTACTGTATTCTATATATGGTACCAGTCAAAAGTTTGGACACACGAATGGGAAAGTGTCCAAACTTTTGACTGGTACTGTACTATAATATACACAAAGAATATCGGCCGATATATCAATATCGGCGTTTTTTACTCCTTAATATCGGTATCGGCCCCCCAAAAAACCCATATCGGTCGGGCTCTACAAGGTACAAAACCTTTCTAATTCTGATTTGAAGTCTCTGCAGTTTTACTCACGTTACTGCATGATTTAACAATTTCCTTGAAGAAAAACAGCAGATGACAGTGCTTTGCAATGTAGCAATTCATTCCAACGTACGTGAGAATAATATCCAATCAATATGTACCTTTTCATGAGCTAATTTTACTGAAAATCACACTGTTCACAAAAATCTCTAGTCATGATACTAGCAGGTCATAGCTGGCATATTTTAGTACAGTTTTCATGTTCCACTGTGTTTTTTACATGTAATTTGGATAGAATTTGGGGGGAAAAAGTTCTTCAATGCTTTCACATTGCTACCTTGCACTATTCTGAATGATGTCTGAAACTTCTTGTGTTTATTGCCTCCTTAAGATGAATCGCTTAACCTGGAAGTGTAAAGCCTTTTAACATCCATGCAGGTAAGGAGCCAGTGGAGAGGTAAGGAGAGTCTGCTCTTTATGTCCTCTTCATCCGGAGCTCCTGATGTCTGATGAACCACGGGGAGTTAAGGTGAGCTCGTGGCAGTGTGTCGAGAGGCTGGGGAGGGTCAGGATTACACTAAAGTGAACGTGAGCCGGTATGGGCAGCAAGACCGAGATGAGACAGCAAGAATGCGAGACTCCCAGAACAGACAGACAAGCATCTGCACGGGTCCAGGTAATGTGGAAAATTCTGAGCGTGCCATTCTCCCCCCATCGCCACTAACCACTTTCTCTTCTTCCTGTACTGAAGAGGATTTAGAGACAGAGAGGCACTGCGATTATACTTCACCTGACCTGCATACTGATGAATGCTGAGCCTGCGGATAGCACCGCCAAACAATCACACAGAAAAGTATAAAGCTCTGTGCTTGTATTTGTCTCGAGAAGTTGACAGCTAAAACCAATAATTCACAATGCCCTAGTGCATTTCATGAAAACTCACTTCATTTGCCCACATCATGCTGTGCAACCAGCTACTTCCCGTGGGCAGGGTTAAATGACAACACACCCCATGCAACAATAATGAAATCAACTTATCATATCAGTGGCCAAGGAAAAATAAATCTTCGCCCCTTCTGTAGTTTCCCTTCAGCCTCCGGGGAAGCAGTGAAGCTTAATTTATTCAAATATCCCCACTACTCATTTCTATTTCATTAAATACAACTAATTCATCTTTGGTTTGCGCCTAATCAGCTTTACACTGTCACAGCTCCACAGACCCTTCCAGGAAGACTACGGCCAGCGCCACATGTCAGACAGACACAGCTAGCTGTGCCAGAGGACTGGCTACGGTCACTTCCAGCAGATTCACATGCAATAAAACAGAACACACATGCACAAGGAGTTATAGAGAAATGACAAATCAACTGGATAGAAAATGATAAAACAAAACAGCAGTAGAGACGAAGACTTTGCAGTGAGATTACACTCCTGGCTCATCTGACAAGTTACTTATGCAACACTGGGAAGAGATTGTACTTTTCAGCTTCGTACTCACACCTTGGAAAAGAACCCAACATAAAGAGCAGATGATGTCTTTCTGATAAAATGCTTTAATCTACACATAGCTTCTGAACAGCACATAAGATATAAAGCAACCAAGGAGAGAGTTTTTTTTTAATATAAAATCACAAGACTCCACTGAGTATTACTTGAAGGAAATAGGGAAGAAAAAGGCAGAAAAGGAATAGTGTTGAAGTTTTAAGTGAACGTAGGCTGTAGACTTTGTTTCTGTATATGAAATACCAAGAAATGTCAACTTCTGCAAAATCATGTGGTTATGGACAGCTAAACTGATGTTAGAAAGACCAAACCTTAAATCATTACGCAAAGGAATTGATTAATTAATTATGTGTTTTTATACAAATACTCAATAATAATAGTGATATAATAAATAGACACATATTACAGTAGCTGTTTCTTATGCACATTTTGAAGTATCGCATCAGAAACAAGTGATGGAAGTGAAGCCAAACTTTGAAAAAATAAATAAATAAATTCACAATTCACAAAAAACTGTGAAACAGTGCTTATTCACAAATGTTTTATGCAATATTCCAATTTTGCACATAAGTTCACAACTTTAGATGGAAACCCAGCTAGTAGCATCACTGATGTTACCTAGATTTTTAATTGCAATAACTAAATGGAAAAGTAACAGATGTTGATGATGATGATGATGAAGAATACAAAGAAAAAGGTGAAAACAAAGAAGAGGAACATGACGATGGTGAAGATAATGAAGGTGGAGAAAAAGATGAAAAAAAGACAAAGAATTTAAGAAAAAAGGACCAAGACAAATGAGAAGAAAACATGACAACGGTGAAGAAAAAGACAAAAGAGGATGAAGAGTACAAGGGGAAAAAAGCCAAGACACAGAAGAAGAAGAAAAAGAAGGCAAGAACTGAAGAAGAAGAAGACAATGAACGTGACGAATGAAAAATAAAAAATAATCTGTTTCATTAAAAGGTATGCCTCGTCTGTTTTGGTATGATTTGATATAATATGTTCTGTTTATGGAACAGATTTGAGATCCAATCAAGATTCGAGAAGAACTATTGTATATGGCTAACTCATATTCTCTTTTCCACCGTTAATACCTGTGTGAAATGTTTATCGCTAATTCTAATTTGAAGCAATCTTCACCCTATCCAGCACGAGCGAGGCGATGTGCCACAAATCCCGAGCGCTGGCTCCATAAATACGGATGACTCTAATTGGAGAGTCAGAGCTGGAGCTTATTCCTTTTAAAGTGTCATGCTATATATATATATATATATATATATATATATATATATATATATTTATATTTCACTATTTATTTTCAAAAACATTTATCTCATATTATTTACACAATTTTAACTGCAGCGTATATGCATTCATGCCACCTCTGAGCTGCACTTAACAATAAAATAACACCTCAGATGCAGCTTCTGTGCTACTTTTAACATGATGCATAAATGTAATAAAGCTAGAAAAAAATTGAGACTCACTATCATCCAGAAATGAAAGACATAGGCTACTACAAACACCTTCAGAAATTTTATTTTTGTACTAAGTAGTTTTACTATAACACATTGAAATTCAATTCAAAACCATTAGTGGTTTGTTGTCAAATGGAGCAGGATGCTCCAAATGGTGTCTAGCTAAGGGGATGATGAAAAAGGATGGGAAATATGAAAGGGTGCAATGATTCTCAAAGCTTGCGCTCTGATATCCAGGAAATAAAGACTAAAGCTAAAGTAGGACACTAAACCTCAAGACCACAACTCCAGCTCCACCAGGACCAGACTGAGAGATGAAGGGATAGAGGTCAGATGAAAAAAAAAGCCCCACATGAAGGGTGTGGTTACACCACAGCAACGTGATTATATAATACAAATTTTCTACATCATGCTTATACAGTTACCCCGCAACCTTTCTGCAAAATTCTCCCATGACAAACCTACAAATGACAAACACAACAGCAGAATACAGATGAACTTGCTGAATCGGTCGGCCTTGAGAGAACTCTGTGGCACCTTCATGAATGGGAATGTTTGTTATTCCAAAATATTCATCGCTGAAGGTGAAGCTTGGCATATCTGCCAATTACCAGTTGTGAAGAAAACGAACAAAAGACCAAAACAAACAGCACATTCAGTGTTTTGCTTCCAATATTCCCTAAAGACCCATGGATCATGTTTTCATTCACTGAGCTGAGGTTTCAACAACAGAGGTGCAAATTCTGACTCTGCGGTAGACGATGGAGGGCAAATTGAATAATCACGCTAATATGACCCTAGGAACTAAACTAACAGAAACTTCCACGACCCTGCAGATGGAAAACAGAGCATGTAAAAGATGTTGAGTCATAATGATTAGGCCTACATAAGCCTTGTTTCAACCGAGTAGTTCCTGTTCAGTACAGTACAGTACGGTACACAAAAAAACGTGAGGCGCCCGGGACACATAAATAGCGCGCAAAATGCTCACTGCCAATAGAAAACAATTTAAAAAGGCGCCTCTCACTGCAAAATAGGGCTGCGCGATTATGACAAAAATAATAATTGTCGATTACTGCCTTGAAATTGTAATTAATTAAGTAATTAATTGTAAGTAATTAATTACGATTATCACAATTTACATTGAATAATTTGGTTTCTTCTTTAAATTATAAAAAAAGTAAAAATATGAATGGTTCTATAATGTTATAGTGAAACGAAAACTAAAACAATGGAAAAACCCTTAAGATAACATTTAGAAAGAAAAAAACATATCTTAAACGTGCAGAATAGCATAAGTGGACTTTGAACGATTAATTGCCGCTTTGAACAATTACGTAATTGTGGCATCCGTAATTGTAATTGCGATTAGAAAATTCGATTAATTGTGCAGCCCTACTGCAAAAACGTGTTCTGTGTGATCGGGGACTAAAACTGCTTTTATACAAGCTGTATTGTATATACTGCGCTATATAAATAAAGGTGACTTGACTATCAAGTAAGGGTACTGTTGGCAGCGGAAACGCAAGCCGGATCAGGGTCTAACGTCCCGAATCATACTGTACTGTACTGTACTATACAAGGCTATAGAGAACCGCTTCAGTCTATTCAGAATAATTTACTGGATTTTCAACGATCACAATTTAAAAATACTTCAGTAAGAATGCAGATGACTAAGAAAAATACAAAGAATAAGATTCCTCAGGAAGTTTGACGCAATATGTGTACCACAAAAATGACTTCAGAACAAGGATCCATTTTCAGCTCTTTCTGTCTGAGTGGTCCAGATCCGGAAGCCTGCTCGGTAATTGGTGGGCCGCTATTTCTTGGAGAACACATTTATTCCCTCGGACTCTCACAGAGAAATGTGTCACTAACGAAGAGCGACAGTAACACTGGGCCGTATGATTACCGTCGGACGACGTTAAGATCTCCGTTTCTGACGTTTCACTCCTTTTTGCTTCATGAACTTAAGGGCAGATAATATAAACATATCAGAGTGAGTGAACGTGCCACATATAATCTCTGCCCAGTAGTCCCACTTGAAAGCCTCTCTTTGGACCCCAGCAAACAAGCCTTTCAGACAGAGGAAACAATAAGGTCAAACAGGCCATTAAGACCATAAAGGATGGGGGCAATTAGTCTGGCTATGGATTACAATTTAGCAGTTCTCTGAAATGAATCCAAGACAACAGTCCATAACATCACACTAATAACATATGCGGGTAGACCGGGCCCCTTCAGACATCACGATTGAATTACTGAGAAACAAACTATCATTGTACCAACAGCACTGATGAAAGCCAATGTGTTATGTTCATCTCTTATGGCCACCTTTGTACACACAATGAACAACAAGCTGATTGTTTAAAATAATTTGAAAAGTCTTGCAAAAATCACACACCGCTATGGTGTGAAGACGTTTTCTTAACTTCACTTTTCATCAATGTCGAGGATGAGACTATATGAATGATCTGATTCACATAAACACGTGCTAAAACTATACCGTGTGAAACTATCAAAGTGTAAATCAGAGATGAGGATGTAATAACAAGACAACCGTTAGCAGAAAACACACCTCGCCCAAAATCAAATGAAGGAATAAATCAAAATTCAAAATGCCTTACATTTGCAATCATTCAGAAGCATTGTTAGGGCAAGAACTTCACTACATTTCTCCAAATCCTCTTATCATAGTGTGTGGTAACAGCTGGGCTGAGGTTTGCAGATTTCTCTTCAGTAGGCATGCTAGAAAGGTTAATTCTTGTTAAATTACAACAAATCCACCCACACAGTCGATGCTCCCATGAACAGACTGAAGAACACAATCACAACTTCCATCACCCAAGAGTCAACGCACCATATTCACTCAACAGGGTCTGCCACAGATGCACTCTGCTCTATCAGATGCACTTATGTTATTGAATATGTGTGCAATTTTCCATAATTATTCTATATCAGACACAGACATTACCTTGTCAGATCAGTGAAGGAATTAATTAAAATGAGGCTCATTTTTTTCGAGTCTGCATTTTTTTTTTTTTTTCAAAGAATCTCTTCTGTTCAACGAGGCTGAATTTATTTGCATATTTCCACCTGTGTAATATTAATCGTCTCACAACGAATAATACTGCAGTTCTTATTCATGCACTGGTTACCTCACGTATCGATTATTCTAATGCTCTCCTTACTGGCCTTGTTTCTAAACTTCTCCATAAACTCCAGTTAGTTCAGAACTCGGCAGCTCGTGTTCTTTCTAGGACTTCATCTATTGAGCACATTTCTCCAGTTCTCCAACATCTACACTGGCTCCAAGTAAAGTATCGCATCGATTTAAAAATTTTGCTTCTCACATTTAAGGCACTTCACAACCTTGCTCCTCCGTACCTAACTGACCTTCTCCACATCTATACTCCTTCGCACACTCTCAGATCCTCATTCTCGATTTCTCTTGTGTCGCTGCGTATATGCTTAAGCACCATGGGAGCAAGAACTTTTAGTTTTGCAGCCCTTTGCCTATGGAACTCCCTCTGAAAATACACAACAATGACAGTCTGCATACTTTTAAATCTCGTCTTAAGACTCTTTACCCAGGCTTTTTTATGACTTGCTCTTAATAAGCCTCTACCATATTTATTATGTATGTATGGAGTTGTGCTGTTAAACTTTGTAATGCTGGCAGGATCTGTTTGTCTTATGCTACTTTTTGTATTTTTTATCATTTTGCTTTCTGTAAGGTGACCTTGGGTGTTTAGAAAGGCGCCATCAAATAAAATGCATTTATTATTATTATTATTATGTTAAGGAAACTGCAATACTTTTTTTCAGGATTCTTTGATGAATAGAAATGTTAAAGTCAGTGAACTGCATTTATTTTAAACATAAATGTTTTGTAACAATATAAATATATTTGTCGCATTAATAAAAGAAAAGAAAAACAGACTTTTAAATGGTACTGACAGTTAGTCTTACAGATTTGTTTTTCTCTCTCATATAATGGTAATAATAATTAAAAAAAAAAGGATCAGTAGACAATCAACACCCAGCAAATGCATTAGCAAATAAATGCAAATGAACATGTGACACATGACTCAAGGAAGAGGATTACATTGAGTACTCGTAGCACACTGTATCGTAACACCAGGCGGCCATCCACCTTTGCAATAGATGCTCTATGAGGAAATAAATATTGCATTAAAATATAGTTTACAAAGGGCGGCCTGACTTGTTTTTAATTTATTTCCCCAGTGCTGGTTCGGGGCCTTCAGGAACCAGTTTACAGGCATGCACACTGCCAGATACACAAACAAATCAGCTTTCTATTTAGGGAACAGAGAGACAAGCTTATCCGCAGCCCATGTCATGGAATATTATTTAACTCTGACTATAAACCACATCTATTTCAGGACTCCACCATTAGAGTTAATTACAAAACCAGAAATGAAATTGCCTGCCAATCTGCCTGGTAAAGGCCTTTCAAATGAATGGGTGAATCCATGGGATAGCATAAATCCTAGAAAACTCAGCCTATTACACACATCAACACCACAGGTGGTTAAAAGCATTACGAGTCGGCTAAATGACAGAAATCAAGGGAAAAGATTTAATCTGGCCATCGGCTTTAGAATAGAAACCTAGCTTGCGCTCACTGTTGTACACAGAAGCAGTTCCGGGCGGATGAATTATGAGGTCAGCGCTGCGCATGCGCCGGTGAGTCTCGTGAAGACCAATGTTTGCTAACAGGAGCAAAGGAAGCAAAGTTTCCTTACTTTAGCAAAGGAAAACCAGTCTCCTCTTGGCTTATATCGAAATCCTCCGACATCCTTCTTTACAAATCCTCGTTTTGTACTTCTAATAAGTGACCGTTGTTTTGTTTTGATCTCTCCGCTGCGCTTCCGCGTTCGTCACTTCTGAGCGGCGCATGCACAAAGCCGACCTCATA